GAAATAAAAATTCTTGATATTCAGGAAAAGAGACTTTATAAAACTCTCAGACATAAACACACCAATATATGTTCGTCTGTGTGTTTTCGACCGAGAAAACCATGGGAGATCATAACTGGGGGTCTAGACTCAAAGCTTATACACTGGGACTTCTCCCGGCCAAAGTGTTTGAATCAGTTCAATATGCAAGAAATGCAGAACGGAAACTCAGACGCAGAAGCTTACATGGTGAATCCCCCTTTCATCCATAATTTGGCCTCTTCAAGTGATGGACACTACCTCGCATGTGCACTAGAAAATGGACTGGTCTCTCTCTTTGATACGAGTAGGAAAAACATACGAGAGCTTTTCAGTCTACATGCTCATTCTCAAGGTACCTCTCAAGTTCATTTCGTCTCTGACTCGTGTCTGGTATCCGGGGGCAACGACTGCTGTGTTGTACTTTGGGACCTTGAGAAATCAAATGACGAGGAAGCAGCTTTAAACGTCAATGACAGCAATGGTGCCGGCCCTTTGACCAATGGTCACACCCATCCTCAGGAACAGAGGAATGAAAACGTGTCCAGTGCTTGTAAAGTTCTGGAGATTCAACATTCCAGTAAAGTTAACTGGATGAAACCTTTTGAGAAGAATGGTGTGAGAAAACTTGCTGTGGCTGATCAGACCTCAAATATCACTATTCTCTCACTGCAGTAAACAGTAGTATTATATTATGATTCACTCGCTAAAGTGAACAACAACATTTTATAGCGACTCCTACTGCAGTGAACATAAGATTTTATTGTGAATATACTCCTATAGATAGTGAAGTCAACGGTAACATTTTATAGTGAATATTTTCTTATTGCTATGAACAGTATAGGTAATATTTTATCATTATTTCCTTAAACTGCGTGAATAAAAATATTTTATTTTATTTCTCTTAATCAGTTAATGCAGTGAACAGAAATATTTTGTCATGGTATTACTGCAGTGGACAGAGACATTTTATCATGATTATCTCACTACAGTAAATAGGAATCTTGACCTAGTGCCTTTATGTGTGCTTGCAAAAGTTAGACTGTAACATTGATGGCACTGGCAGTGATTTGGGAAGGTTGGAATTATGGACCATCTTAGTTTAGTAACATTTTAAAAGTCATGGTAAATGACAATTGAGGTTGTTGATAAAGACAAATGATAATTAAGGTCCCTTGATATTGTACAGTGTACTTTTTTAGGAAAAGATATTGGGAAAAAGTCTTTTGTGTGACCAATGAAGTCTTTCTAATCACTGGCAGTAATATAAAAGCCTGATGTTTATGTAAGTTTAATGTATGCGGGTATATAGACATTAAAACAATATAAACGTTTTCATTTACTTTGATCGTAAAACTATTGAAAATTGCAGTTGGCTTTTGTTGTGGTGTAGTGTCTGTCATCTGTCTATTGTCAACTTCATATTTAAGGATCCCTGTACCACTGCTAAAAAAATAACCATGCATTCAAAATATACTTTTTGGCATGACTATGGTTTCGATAGATCACCTTTGAAAAGAAAAATATGCTTTGCTTTTTGAAAACATATATAAATTAACGGAGATGATGTAAACAAAATATAATCTACAAAAAGGTTCAAAGTGTAAAACTTTCTGTGAAGTGAGACCTGTATTAGTACCCTGGACTTCAGATTGTTATACCATCAATCACTGAAACGGATTGAACTACCTGGTCAAAGTGAAGGGGAGGTTACTGTATATAGGAAAAATGACGGTGCAGTGGAACAAGGAATCCTTAAAACATATACTACACCAGAATGGCTGAAAAGATTTTATCGTAATTAGGTCTAGAGCTATTTTGGCAATATATTGTTATATAAATGGATGGTGACCCTGTGCTACTATCCCTATGGGCTGTGCCCAGTGTGGGAAACACTAAAGATACATGTATGTCGATAAGTCTACTTTGTCTGGGAGCAGCCTTAAACCAAGAGGACTCAAAATTGTATACTAGTCAAGAGTTGCCTCCTTTTAAGACAAAGGGGCAGGCCCAATAGGGGAAATTTAGGTAATTCTTTACAGTTATACTCCTTCATTTATTGTAAAGGGATTGTAGGCTAGCATAGAGAAAGTTTCTCTGAAGTATGCCACTCTTTTTGTCAAGGGAACTCATGTTGTACATTTTATGGAGGCACAGTAGTCTAGTGGTAGGACGCCGGGCTCGTGCCTGAAGGGTTGCATGTTCGAGTCATGGCACGCAACTGTGTTGTATCTTTGAGCAAGATACTTCACTCGTTTGTTCCAGTCTACTCAGCTGTAAATGAGTATGTGGTTGGG